TCTAGAGAAAAACTCTGCAGCGCAAAGGGCCAAAGAATTTGGGGTCACATCCCTAGGTTAGAATCCTGGTTCTACACTTTTCTGTAGCCTTTGAAGTAAGGTCCTTTTTTTTTTTTTTTAACTGTTCCATGAATGCTACCAATGCTCGTTCTGTAATAAGTACTTGTTAAATGTTGATCCTTTTGCCTATTGCTTATTAGCATGAACATTTCCCTCTAAAATGGGCTTGTCTCATTCTCAGGTGATTCCTGGGAAACTGAGCAGGAACCTCAAGTTAGATAGAAACCCCGAAGAGAGGCGAGTGTGGGCTTGCAGGGACTGGGACCAGCTAGGGAAGACAGCATTCAAAAGATGGTTTTGCAATTGTCCAATTAATGTAATAATTATTTTCCTTCCCCTACACTTCTCCAAATCCAGATCAGTTCTTCTGAACCATCTCTCACATTGGTCCCCTCCTTTCCACCTTGAGGGGAAGTTACCTGGATCTGGAGCTAGTCTCTCTTTTAGGCTCTGCCCATTTCAATCCACTTTTCCCATCATCACTGCCTAAAGCACAGCTCTGATCATATGAATTCCCTGCTTAAAAACCTTCAGTGTCCCCACCCCTAATTCCATACCTTCACTTTCAAGGTTTTTTCAATCTGTCTCCAACCTAGTTTTCTACCAAATTTAGGCTGGCTCAATCAAGGCATGCTAGGACTAAAATGATACATAATCTGGGGGCCAGAAGAGAAAAGGAGAAAGATAATGTCCTACCCAATGGCATTCAATTTAGAGCTTGGAGACAATGCTGTGGGGTCCTGGGGATGTTCAAACTGGAGTGGATGCTTCACCTGCACCTAGGTGCTGGGATCTAGCCCTCAGGGCAATAAACATGGCACATCTTAGGCAAAGGATCTGAGCCTCTGCTGCAGCTAAGCAGTTTAGAAGTCAAGGCACTGCTTGAGGACCAGTTGGAAGTCCAGAGTCTAGGAGATGGAGGCAAAATTCCAACCTCTCTGGGCAAAGCAACATGATAGGGGAGGGGGGAGAGAAAACAGCAATGCTGTCATCCCAGGTTTAAGGCAGCAATATTAATTCTGGACTCTGAAGGCAGAACCTCAGCTGTTTCTTTTTCTGTTTCCCAGCTTTAGGTGAGAATCTTGCAGATATTGCTTGCTTAATTGGGTTAACACACCTCACTAGCCTCACCTCCTTCTGTAGAAGGTGCCAGGTCCTTTGAAAGTTCTCGCATCACCTGGCCAATTGGAATTCTCATAGCCAAGACAGAAGGCAGATGGCTTGTGTTTTGGTCATAAATCTCCATCTTAGGCATTGAGTAGAATGTTTACTATTGCATGAAAAACTTTTTTTTCAGATTCTCCTGGAGATTTAGGAATAAGGAGTCTTAATGTCATTTGGCCAATGGACATTCTTTTTCCATTTTAAAGAAGTGAAACTCCCTCCAGGAACATGAAATGAATAGTCTACCATGTGGTGAGAAAGTAGAAGCCTACCACTGTCTCAGTTCCTTGACTACTCCTAGCAGCTTCTATGCAAGCATCTCAAGGATCCCATTCTGAACTGACTCTTTTTATTATTAATAGCTAACATTTACTGAGTGCTTACTATGTGCCAGGCACTGTGCAAATGGAAACACATTGCCTCACTCCCAGGTGGCTCCTGGGAAACTTAGTAGGAATGTGAAGCAAATAGAAACTCTGAGGAGTTAGGGGAGCACAGGCCCACATAGCCTGGGGCCAGCCAGAGAAGAGGGCCTTTAAAAGATGACCTCAGTGTCACACACCTGCTGTCTGCCCTCCACTCACCCACTAGTGGGCCTGAAGTTCAGTGGCGGGGAAGGGACATGGTGGAGGGATGTGAAGGCTGTCCATGTTTGGCCCTCACCAGCTTCTGCTTGGTCTGGCTGCATGAGTGTGTGTAGGATATTGGAGCACTGGAAGAGAGCGCTCTCCCCCCCCCCCCGCCCCCCTGCCAGCAACTCCAGCCCCCTGAGGGTCAATGCTAAAATGCCTTCAATTGGGGATAAACTTTCATTCTTTAATTCACTGGAAAAAGGCTTAAACTACAAATTGCTCTTGAGAAGGTAAAAGGGTTGCCTTCCATTTATAAGAAGAGGTGAATGACTCAGGAAAATTTTCTGACAGAGGCTAGGGAGGATGCCCAGGAATCCTATCCTGGCTGTCTTAGGAGAATGGGGAGAAAATGGGGGGCACACAGTGGGCAGCTAAGAGTTTTGCAGGCAAACCTGCCCTCAAAGCGTTGCATAAGGTCCCAAAGTACCCACCCAGCTAGAGAAAGGATGGTGGTTTGCAGCCTTATGTGGGAAGAAGCCAAGAAAGATGACAAGCAGAAGCAAGTTCACACCCCTGTTGATGAGAGCACAACTCTTGGAACATGGAGCCTGGAACAGGGATCCAGAACAGGGGCACCCTGGGAAAGTGGCTCCATGCCCAGAACTGTCCCATCCAGAGAACTGCACAAGCAGTGACCTGGTCACCTACTGATCCAGGAGCCTTAATTTCCTAAACTCATGATTTGAGAAAGAAATTCTTTGAAAATGTTTTTAGAAATGTGTATGAAGTCTAACAAGGCATTTGAAAAATAGACATGTGTATTTAGTAAAAGCATAAAATAAATGCCCTTCATTGAAAAAAAAAAAAGACACTAGGAAAGTGGGACTGTCCTAGATAATTTCAGCATGTCTGGTTGTCAGAGATCTATCTGTACCCCCCTGATCCCCCTGCTTCCACTAAAAATGTAGAAATGTAGGTAACCAAAAACTCTTATTCTATATATAGCAGTAAACTCATTTCAGAATAACTCCTCTGGCTTAGTTCACCTTCCATTTCTCTTGGTAGTGCAAGAAGGAAGCTGGAATGTGTGTGTGTGTGTGTGTGTGTGTGTGTGTGTGTGTGTATGCTGGGGAATGCGGCTATTAACCACCATATTACAGATCTCTTTGCCATGCTCAAGGTTGGCAGGGAAGGCTGGGAGATTGCAGGACCCTCTCATCAACAGTGGGCAGATGGTACGCTAACTGGAGGGCCAGCTGGGAGGGCAAACGGCTCAGCAATCTTCTATCTTAACTTAAACAAACGATCAATACCAGGGATTCACAAAACACAGTTGAGAGCCCCATTGGAGGGGCAAAGCAAAGACCAGTCCTAGGGCAGAGAGGTAGCTGTCACCACTGAAAGTAGTGAGTTTAACAGGAAGTGAGCTGTTGGGCCAGGGGTTCACATCAAGGCCTCTGTTTCCAGGCAGTGGGATATAAAGTGAAGGCAGAGTGTGGGGAATAAAAGCAGAGGAACAGGCTGAGGGGAGAAGGGAACTTCCACTGTCTAGTGGGCTGCAAGAGCATACGACAGAACAAGGAGGCAGAGCTGGAGCACTCACTAGACAGCTGGCCCAGAACCAGGAAAAGAGGTCCAGTGTAGTATAGGGCCCCTCGGTACCCAGTGGTAAAGAATCTAAGTTTCAGCAGGAGAATCCCAGGGGTATGGGATGGTGGAGAATCTGTTACTTGAGTAGCAGCTATGGAACACTACAAATCAGCTCTGGGGCAATGAGAACCAAATTAGACTGCTGGGGATGGGCAGAGTGAGTTGGTACCACACTGGACGGTGGGCAGAGATGTGGCTGCTTGAATGAGAATTCTTCTGAAGACATGATTGGTCTGGGAATGGGGCAGGATTGACTAGTCAGATACCTCAGTTGTCAGGATCTAAAGAAAACCACGGAAGGTAAGGGCTGGGGGCATAAGGCGAAGGGTAAACCATTTCATTCTTTCAAAAATCACTGCCCAACCACTGAGTGGTATAGGTATCAGCAGCCCGGGGGTAGGAAGATGAATAAGACATGGTCCTTACTCTTGAGAGGTTCATGAGTTTTTAGGGGAGATAGGCTGGGGAAAATAGACTCCAGTGCCTTAAGATTATTTGTCAAATACACGGTGCTTTTAATTATTAGATGAAAGCAGCTATTATTTACATTTTGCTCCAATAATATTCATTAGCTTACATGTATCACATCTAGTCAACCACCGACTGTTTCCCTGAGGCACTAACTTTTTAACATTCCATCTTAAATTCACACCCCACCTCCCAAGATGCACATAGGTTGGAATTTCCTGTTACCAATAAAATCAATTGGTTTCCTGGACCTGCTTTGGGTTGGACAACAAGAAGGTGGTGCTTCTGTTTCTTTTAATATAGCTTTAGCCCTGAATCACTGAAGAAAATCAGGAGCCTGTTTAATATTACTTTGGTAGTTTTAACTGAATGACTAGGGGGAAAGAGGGTGCCATTTGAGAGTAGGGTGGAGACCTGGCCAGGGTAGACTCAGGGTAAAGGTATTTGGGGTTCTGCGTAGGAACAGATCCCTTCTGCAGAGCTGTGATACCAATGTCTGAACTACAGCTGCCTGAGAACCTGAGAGGAGGCTCACAGCATCCTCAAGGAACCAGCACTAGAAGAAGCCCCAAGTCCAAGTGGGCTCAGTTTTTCCTGGTTGACTCAAAACAGACCTGCCCTAATTTGCCAAAGAACATGCCACATTAGGGTTCACCCTGCTTTACCGTGCCTCTTGGAAACAATCAGTTGCAGGCTGCCTTTCTTCTTGGCCAAAAAGTGTTGTTTTTCCTTCATCTTTAAAGAAAATATTTTCCATTACTTTGATTGGGATTAGTCTAGGGGACTGGGAAGGACAGGAAGGGTAAGGAAAGAAAGACTGATAAATTTTCTTGCTCATCCCAAAGGTCTATGTTTTGTTTGGAGTGGGTGTCACTTGGATGAGTTATGGGTGGGGGGAACACAAGAGTAGCAAGCCCCACTCTTGTCCATCCTTCCTGCTATCAATGGCACCCAATGGATGGAAATGATAGGTAGGATGAATTGAAAGCGTTCCCTGCTGGAATCCTCCTCAGCAAGACTGGAACAGGACCTCCTGTCCCCTCTAGAGGCCTCCTAGAGGGATATTCTGAATCTGCCACAGCTTACCTCTCTCAAGATGTCAGGGGCATGAGGTGTCAACTTCTTGCTTGTGCGTCAGCCAATGTTATCTCCTGTGCATATATCCTTTTTATTTTCTTCTGGGTGATTTTCATCAATCTTCCACTGATTGCCTGCTCTCTGTTTATAAATCAACAAATTCCCTGAAGAATGAAAACAGTTGGGAAACCCTGAATGGGGTAGGGAGGAGACAATGATGTTTGGAGCATACACAGCATGAAACCATTTGCTCTGCTTGGGAGGATTCCATTAAGCTATCAAAGGACTGGGAAATACAGATAGAAAACCTGTTCTTCCTCCTTGAGGAAGATTCCCTCAAGCTATCGAGGCCTGGGGCCCCTTATACAGTGGGCTTTGGACATACTCGCTGTAATCAGGGCACACTTGGCCTCAAAATGTGATGTGCTGAATGAAATAAGAAGCACTTTGTATTGTATCCTGCTGGTTGAAGGTTGTGGTTCATACAGGAATCAACCATTGAAGGAAAAAAAAAAATCCCAACAAAACAAGTGCCTGAAGACAGAACAGTTAGTTTAGTGTTTCTTGGCCTTTATCTTAGCCCGCCTCATTGAAAGATGTATATCTGTCCTAGGCTTGAACAATGGTGTACAGAGGGGTGGGAGGCAGGGTGCTTACCCGCAGATGAGAGGCAGCTGGTGGGATGTACAGGTAGAGAGAAGAAGGAGACAGAGATAGATTCAGAGGTGGGTCAGAGAAGAGACAAGAGGACAGACACTAGTTCTGTGAGAATTTTGCTCAATTTAACTGTACTTTGGTGAAACAATATTGCTGGTATTTCATTTTTTTTTTTTAAAAGGTTTTCTTTTTTTTTTTTATTATTATTTATGATAGTCACACAGAATGAGAGAGAGAGGCAGAGACACAGGCAGAGGGAGAAGCAGGCTCCATGCACCAGGAGCCCGACGTGGGATTCGATCCCGGGTCTCCAGGATCGCGCCCCGGGCCAAAGGCAGGCGCCAAACCGCTGCGCCACCCAGGGATCCCTATTGCTGGTATTTCAATTAGTAATTCTCCCCAATTTTTTCTCTGGAGGATTAGAATTTCAGAGTCAGTAGGTTACTATGGAATTTGTTCAGTGTGGATATTAATGTATGCACCTTGTGGGGGGCACATCACTTTAAGTACAAGAGGACCCTTGGCTTCTGTTTGCTTCCATGTTTCCCCCACCACATCATATTCTTCTCATTTCCCATCCCTCTCCCCAGCCTTTTCTCATTCAGTAAACTACCTAATAGATGGTTATAATTAATACCTATAAGCTGTCAAAGGCAGTGACTATATGGGTAAATTATTAATTTAGGATCAAACTGAGCCAGACAATGTATGAGAAGAACATTGTGGTTCTTTGTTCAAGTGAAGCAGTAAGACTGGAATGTGCGGTGCTGCTCATTAGGCTGTACTCTTTTTTTATGTTATCCCACAAACTGCAGTCCAAGAGCCCCCTGCCTTGAATGAATGTTGGACACATGTGCTTGCTCTGGAGTAAGCAGTTGGTTGATGGGTTCTTTGTTGTGGTCTTCAACGTATCAGAGCAAAGTATCTCAAAGGCCTTCCTGGTAGTAGAAGGTTCCTGTACCTCCCAGGAATGGCAAGCTAGCTACCAGAGTATTGGTATGACCACAACATTGGGAATTTAGTGTGGGTGGAAGTCATATTTTCTATGGCAGGGGTGGAGAAGAAGAGAGCAGGGAGAGAAAGGGGTGTTCCAGCATGAGGGAAGGGACAGAGTTGTTACAGGTAAATTTTCCTGGATAGCTGGATCATGTCTATTGCTGGTGACAGGTGCAAGAGCAAATCTTTCCCGAGCACCCAAGTGATACACTGCGTCTGGCCTTGCTCTTTAGGTAATCATTAGAGAACTGGTGGGTGTTCATGTGAACAGTTGTCTACCCCACAAAGCTGGGATGCAATCTGGAAGGGGGAGCAAGATGTTTAGAGGAATTTTTGCTGAGTAGGGCTATGATGATGTGCCAAAAGGGGAGGATGAAATGTGATGTCTTAAGGTCTCCATCACTGCAAGGAGGAGGCAAGACCATAAATGGGGGGAGAGGGGGGAGATGTGCAGGGGGCGCAATCAGGAAAGGGAACTATAACCACGTGTCTTGAGGTCTGTGCGCCATTGACCCAGGCCTCTGTGTCTCAAGGTCTTAGCATGCCAGAAGTCCCTAAGGGCTATAATGAAGACTTTTGAGTACAGAGAGGCAATCATGATTGCACAGGGCAAGCTTGGTGGCCATACCTCTGGCCAGGCTGAGCAGCTGTCTCCTGAGACAGCAGACCTTCTGCCGCTTCACCTCATCCTCCCAAAGGTACCCCAGAGTTCAGATTGAGGCGGTTGTGCTTTGCTGCCCTCGCTGCCTAAACACTACTCTTTAATAGTAATGGCTGGGCTGGGTGACTGGAGGTGCCTTTTCCAGGGCAGGCCTCCCTCTGCTGCCCCCTGGTGTCCTTGCTTATAAGAGTAGCTTTCTGCCTAATAACTTCGAGCATCTGACAAGGTAAAGTTGCTTGGAAGAAGCAACCTTGTTTAGCGCTGGTCAAGCTTCTACTAGTTGCATGCAGAGGTCTGCCTTGAGAGACACTGAGCACTTGAAGCAGCCTCCATGCCTATGTAGCAGGTCATGCTTCTCTTTAGGCCTCTTCTGGAATTTCCTGAAGAAATATGAACAGAGTTGCAGGCCTTCCCAGGATTGAGGTGGATCCCACCTACCTCCTAGCTAAAGGGGGACCTGTGTAAGCCTTTTCTAGAAATGGTATCTTGGCTTTTCCTCCAGGACTTGCCTGTCCTGGAGGAGCTACTAGCCAGTGGGCAGTAGGCAGTGGATGGCATCAGAATTTTTGAGCGCTCAGGAATAGGATTGGGACACTGGTTTCTGCAACAAAAGGCACCAGTGGTGGCAGCCACTTCTGCAGAGAATGCCTTGGGGCTTGATGTCTCTCAGTGTATCTCCTGATCTGGAGGCAGGAGCCCACTGTTCTGAGCCCCCAGCTGCTCCCCCCCCCCAATTCCTGAAATTGGGAGATGGAGCTTGCATGGGCTGGGCAGCTTCCCAGCAGAGGTGGGATCATGGTGTAGGGACTCTGTGGTTCCACGTACCTGAGATAACTAGTCTGCCATACTGCAGGACCAGACCACACTCCTTGGTACAAACAGTTATATGCATGCAAAAAAACTCCTTTCAAAGCTTCAAGTTGGGACATTTGTAGGCAAAACCCTTATGTATCCAAGCCTATTTCATTCAGCCACACAGTGTTGACAACTGCGTGGATCCTTCATAGACAACTACATTTCCCCACCTCCACCCAGGTAGGTGAATGCCTGGAGCCTGCAAGGACTGGGTATCCAGAATGGTGCTTCCTCATTGGCAAAGAAGGTGGGGAGCTTCATGTCTCAGAGGGAAGCTAAGAATCCAAAGCCAATGGCCACAAGGCTGGGGAGAACCAAAGAGTTGAAAGACTACAATGGATGGATAAGAAGGATGGGCTTTTATTTTTGGATTGAAGTGTAAAATACAAATGTCTACAGAATATGCTCCTTTGGAGAGAACCAGGCACATGGAATACAGGGCCAAGTAATAGTTCAACCCCCTCAGGTCCATCCCTTTTCCCATTTTTATCCTTTGACTTGAATTTACAAGAACATTTGATTGTGTTCTAAATGCAAAAGCCCTCTACAAGGTACTTGGAACCAGGAAAAGGAAAAGTATAAGGTGGCTTCTGCCTCAGGGAACATACAGTCGAGTTCATGACCTCTTTCCCCCTTAGCCTCCTCCTCATTCTTATTCTTTTAAACTAGCATTTCCTAAATACTGATTATATATTTGGACATTTTTATTTCTCTTGCTTCTTTCCACCCATAATTCCTCTAATCTCAGATCCCCTTCCTCTCTGCATCCATTTCTCTCTCAAAAAAAAAAAAATAGGCAATAAAGAGAAATTTGGGGGATTAGAAGAAGAAAAAAGACTTAAAGGGAAAATATATGCTTATTGGTACACCTAAGTTTATTCTATGACACTCAAATGCTCTGTATCCATGTCACTTGCAGCTTGGGCTGCGGAAAATGAGCACTTCATTTCCTCCTGTAATGAACTTCTGCTGAGCATTAGCCTCTTTCCATTTGCACAGGCTGTTAATATTTTTTTTAACTGCTATATATTCCTAAATAAATTCAGGCTGGTTGTGGGTCTTACATCTACCCTGTAAATGAGTGATGGTATGATCTCATCTGACAGTTACCAGAGCTAAAGAGTGAGAGAGCCAGACCTGTCTGCTCGCCTACCCGGTGTGTCCACCCCAGCCCACAGCTCTCACTCCACCTTCTCCCATACAGTGTTTGTATCACAGTCAAGCCAAAGGGATGAAGTCTTCTATGAGGACAAGCATTTTGGAGGCTAGTAAAGGGGAAAAATCTCTAGGATCCTAGGTATTCTTTTACCTCTTATCTTGTTTTTTAATTTGCTTGCTTGCTTCTCACCTAAGATGAGACCACAGAGACCCATGAACGATGGAAGGGAGGGGAGAGAGAGGATGTGGACGAGGGGCTGTGTTATGGAGTCATACAGTAAAGGGTTGTGTCCAGCTTTAACTGACTCCTAAACATATCCCATCCTACCTATTAAGAAGTTTGGAAGGCCACCATTTCTTTAGAATGGAATTTAAAAGAATTTAAAGGTCTTTCATTTAAAAAAAAAAATAGTCCTAAAAAGCCAATGTCCTTGGGAGGGGTAACACTTAGGTGACAGTTTGTGGGGACAGAGGCTTTGTGGGACAGCCACCACTAAGGGGAAGAGGAAGAACCCCAAAGCCAAACCTGACAGACTTAACCAGTGGTATGTACTCCTATCTCCGGATTAGTGCTGTGTCTGAGTACAGAGGAGATGATAAAAAGCAGATTTGTGTCTGAGCCCCCTCCTCATGGCCGATGCACACCTGGACCTGAAACACTGACAAGTTGTTCAAACATGAAAACATCTGGCTGGGGGCTAAGATCACTTCAGATTTTCACCCTATATTTTCCTAATTTCCCTTTTGGAATAGACTAAA